CACCCCCCCAATGGGGGTAAATTGAAACGTCGTCGGCATGTACCAGTTTTCAAAATACCCTCTCAGCATGACAGCCTCAGTGCCTGGATCATTCCCAGGGTCTCTGGAAAGCCCAACTGTGGTGCCCCTGGCGCACTGTGCAAGCTGGTGGGAGCTGATGAAACTTCCTCGCAATAAACAGCCCAAATCACATGATTCAAATGCAAACCACTGGGCTTTGGGAGGCAAAGGCCCCACATAGGCACCTTCTCCTCCTGGAGAAGAACTGAGATGGTTCCTGGGAATAAACCTAAAACAGTCTCCAAATCACCATGGAGTCCACCCACCCCTGGTAAGTAAGCCAGACTTAGGCCCCCTCAAATGGACGGGCAGAAATTGTTTTCTTTATAAAAGCGAGACCAGGGACCAAAACACGGAATCCACCAACTCCAGAGGAGGAGCCTGGAAAAATTCTCTTGGGCAGTCCCTGTATGTATCTAACCCCAGTCCTTCATGCTTCAGTGCCAGCCATTTCTTTTTCTTCTGTTCTAGAGGACAGAACAATGTCGCTTTTCACTGCAGCCTGTCTCAGCTTTGCTTCTCACATCCAAAATAGCCCCAGTCTATTATCAACAACTTTCCTCTCCAACTTTCTCACTCAGAAGCAGCTTTTGAAATCTAGGTAATGATCCGCTCCAACCTGTGGTTTCTTTCAACAAAAACCAAGCAAGCAGTCTCATCCGAGTCACACAAAAAGCTGGCTCTGGCTCTGCCTGTGCCAGCCCCAACACACTGGGGAGACGCCAGCTCTGCACCTGCCTTGCTGTGCGCCTTCAGGAAAGCCATGCCCCCTTTCTGAGCCTCAGTCCCCTCACCTTTGTACCAAGGAGGGCTGGCCTTTTTTCTGCAGTCCATTCCAGTTCCTACCACTGTCAGAGCTGCCCAACCCCCTGTTGGTCCCTAGCTCTACCTCTCTTCTCCCGCCAAAAAGAGGAAAAGAAACTTGCCTTAGGCATCGGGGGGAGGGCGCGCAGTTCCGAGTTGTCAGGGTGCGCGGGCTGTTGCCGGGTGAGTGAACCTCACACAAATCCCAGGACAGAGAAGTCCCACCTCCCCGTAGCCACAGCTACCCGACCACACCTCTAGCCCAAACACAGCTCGAGGCCCAGCCAAGGACCACCTCCAGAATCCCTCGGGACCCCTCCCTTCCCTGTGACCGGCCCCAGCCGGAGACAGTGTGAAAGAGCCAACGCCCCCAATGTGCGGAGGTGGAGACTGAGGCCGGAAGGTGCTGACAGCGGAAACCCGTAGCCTGCGGGGTTTGGACTGGGATCTGATAGCCTGTCCAGGGCTCCCTCCCATTCTCAGAGAGGCGATCGGTCTCCTTCCCGTTCGCGTGATATTTCCACGTGGGAGAGATCGAGAACAGCACCGTCCCTGTGGATCAGGGCCCATCCGCGCTGTCTTCCTTCCCTCCCCATTCCCCCGATGGAGAAACTGAGACCCAACGTGGGGCCAGAACCCGCCCCAGACCCACGGCGAGCCCCTCCCGGTGTCTCACCTGCTGGCAGCCACAGCGTGGGGTGGTTTCCTGGAGTTGAGCGGCAAACAAAGGCCTCCAATCCGGGCGCGGGGCGGGGCATCGACTTTTTGCAAAATCCCGGAGGCCAGCCTCTGACGGGCGGGGTGCGGCCCCAGGAGGCGGGGTCTCGGAAGTTCCACCAATCGCAGAGAGGCGGCCGCCTGCGGCCCATCCCCCGGGACTCAGATGCGGCTCCAACACTAAAAATCTAAAATCCGGGAGGTTGCGTGTACCTCCTGGAACCTGGCCGACTGCAGATGCGAGACTGAAGCCCGGAGTTAAGACATTTGTTCAAGATCGCAGTGAAAAAGCAATCAGACTTTCATAGTGGAAACGGTCTGCTTCATAACAGTAATGATTATACTGTAATAACTTTTCTTGAGCACTTAGTATGTGTCAGGCACTATTGTAAGTGGTTATTACGACCGATTTTCTCCTATTAGGTAGGTTGGTATTATTGTTAGTATCCCGTAGTCCAAACCACCGTCAGGCAAGCGGGGAAACCCAGTCCTGGAGAGAAAGAACTTGCCCAGGGTCCTGCAGTGAGTGCAAGACAGAAACAATTCACTGTCTACTGAAAGCGCAGCTTGAAGGACAGCTGTGTAAGGTGTCAAACTGGCCTAGGCCCTTGCCCCAGTTCTGCCACTGAGCTTCATGCAAATGGGATTTACAACTCCTGCCTCACAGGGTTGCTGAAGGAGTAAGTAAATAAACACCGCACCAGGACCATAAGAAATGAAACAATAGAACTAATCTAAAGAGTTCCTCGCAGCATCCTGTTTCACAGGGTAGATAAATAAACCTGGAGACTTTCCCAAGGTCCTGCATCCAGCTCAGTTGCAGCCCAGTTCCTCCCAGCAGCCCCCCACCCAGATTGCCAGTGACTGTCTACACACATACCTAATGGTAATTATAGCAGCAGCTTCAATTCACTAAAGGCCTACTCTGTCCCAGGGGGGGAAAATGTACCTAACCCTTACAACAATTTATGAGTTAGGGTAGTACTGTTCTCCCTGTTTAAAGATGAGAAAACTGAGGCTCAGGTTAAGAGACTTACCCAGGATTACACGAACAGGAAATGGTGGAGGTGGAATACGATGCCAAGTTTTAGACACCAAGGTGTGGACTCTGAGCTGTGTTGTTCTCCATCCTGTACTCCCCACACTGAGCTACTACACCCCACCCCCACCCGGCTTTCTCCCAAGCAGAGAGGGCTCCAGGCGATTTGAAGGCCAATTGATACTTGCTTGGGCATGCCCCAGCTCAAGGCTGAAACTCACCTCTTTCTGTCTTCTAGCAACACACTCGGAGGTTCTCTAGCCGTACCTCCTTACTCCAGCCCTGGCATCACACGTAAAGACATCAGGGCCACAGGTGCAAGTATCCAGATGAACCTCTGGCCCCTCCCTCCCACAATATTTGGGGCTGCCTTAGCCCATGGTATTGGGGTCTTTCGAGAGACAAAAGGACATGCGCTTGTCCTGGGGCTTCATGTCATGGACCCCAGGTAGCCCTCGGTCCAAATTTGTCTTCTACCACTCACCTGCAACTTCAAGCAGGCCATTTGACCTTTCTAAGCCCATTTATAAGGGAATTTTTTAGGGTTAAAATTCCGCAGCCCTAGAATCAGTCCTAGCTATTTCAGAAGAAAGTTTCAGTAACTGATTCTTGTTTCACTTTTTTTCAGAGTACAAACTTTAGGCCATGGGCGTCAGCTGCTGCAGACTCTCCGTCCTTTGGGCCTGGAAAAGATGTGGCACTTTTAAGACCAGAGGGCCCCTTTCTTCGTTCACCATCATCCTGACTGCAGTGACCTCCCTGGGGCTGATGCTGGGCCTGGTGCCGGGCCTGGTGCCATGGTCCACATAGCATCCCAACCCTCATCAGAGGAAAGGAGCAGCATCCCCATGTGCTGGTCTCCTGTGGCTGCTATAACACATTACCACCAGTTCATGGCTTAAAACACTAACTTGTTCACTTATAAAGAGAGGTCAGAAGTCCAAAATCAATATCATGGGGCTAAAGTCAAGGTGTCAGCAGGGCAGGTCCCTTCTGCAGCCTCTGAGGGGGAATGAATTCATTACCTTGCCTTCTCAGCTTCTAGTGGCCACCTGTATATTCCTGGGCTCCTGGCCCTTCCCTCCACCTGCAAAGTGCACCTCTCCAACCTCTGCTTCCAGCATCACACCTTTTCATCTCTGTGGACTCTCCCTCTGCCTCCCTTTCACGAAGAGCCTTGGTGATTAGATTGGGCCTGCCCAGGTAATCCAGGATAACCTTCCCATCTCAAGGCCTGAATCACATCTGCAAATTCTCTTTGACATATAAGGTAACATTCCCTTGTTCTAGGAATCTGAATATCTTTGGGGGCCATTATTCAGCCTACCACACCCTTTTTGCAGAAGCAGAACTTTGGCTCAGAAAGGTGAAGTCACTTGCCCTTGACCCTTCTGGATTTAGAGTCTTAGAGTCTGATACAAGGAGATGTGGGGTTTGACAGAGCTCCCCAGTAGCCAGGTAACGGTTCTTCCCTGCAGGGGTATTAGGACTGGGGAGGGTCTAGGACCCCCAGGGATAGGCTGCTCTGGTCTCAGGTGATCTTGTTGGCCTGGAGAGAGAACTGGAGCAGCTAAGGGCAGAATCTGGCAAAATCAACTGCCTCAACCCATTTGGGTAGACCCCCAGACACAGGGCTGGATAAAGCAAGACTTCTCAAACTCTTCTTGCCCCAGAGGAACACTGGGGATGAAGGACACGGACACTGGGGGATCAGGAGCAAACCATTTCTTGCCACCTCCCCCTCCCTGGCCTCCATGTATTTTTACTTCTCACACCCACTCCCCTAGGCTCTTGGAATAGCCTGTGGCCTGCAGAGGTAGAGGATGGGAAGTGATTGAGAACTTACTCTCCTCTCTCCCCCCAGGCCTTGTCCAAAGACTGAAAGCAGGAGAGCTCTAGCCCTAACATGCGCTGTGGCATCCCCCATGGGATCAGGCTGCAGCTGCCCTCCCCAAACAAGGCCTGAAATGCCACCCTGCTTGGCTTCCTCCCCTCCCCCTGCTGACCCCCACTCCCTTACTGCCCTTCCCTTGCATACGAATCTTCCTCTCCGAGTCACTTGCTGGAACCTGCCAGAAGGTGGGCCAACTCTCTGTATTGTAAAACATCTGTGCACACCGTGCATTCTGCCCCCTGACATACCCATGACTTTTAACCTGAAAGTATCATCTGTAAATAATCTTCAGGCAGGGTGTACCACGACAGGGGTGTGGTTCAAGTGCCCCTCCACTTCTGATGTGGGGTTCAAGGGCAGAGGGCGGTGATGTTTACAGCTCTGGGTACCTCCATCTGTCCTATCCCCCCACCCCCAACACTGAGCGACCAAGACCCCAGCCACAAAGGCAGGCCACACAGCACACTGGACCCTAACCTCCTTGTTCATATCTCTTTATTGAAAAATTAAAGTTGTAAGCTCTGTATATAAATACACTGACGTCACTGGTCACCTGCAAGGCCTCTGGGATAGGCTGGGGGTGCAATGGGAAGCTGGGGTCTTGGGTCCCCAGGGGTGCAGAAAGGGAAATAAATAATAAATACCATGGGGGGACAAGGAGCTAGGGGGAATGGGGGTGTAAAGGGTGGGTGCTTGATGCTTATTTGTGGCACTGAGGGCCCTGCAAGATGCCCCCCACCCCGGCTGGGGGCCGTGTCCATGAATTCTCATCTGACCTCACTCTAGACAAAGGCCAAGGCCTCTGGGCATAGGCCAGGTCACCGCTGGACGGGTGGGGGGGGCAGTGGCTCCAGTCAACGCTGAGTCACAGGCCCTGGCAGACCACAGGTGGACGTGCCAAGACACAGGTGCTCTGCCCTTCCTCTTCATTTCCCCCCTTCCTGAAACCCACACTTGTAGTGAGTGCCCACTGTGTACTGGCCGTGGCACCAGATCCCGACCTGACCTTCTGTTTGCCTGCCCCGTTCTCTTCTCCCGGTTCTGGTTCAGTGGGCCAGGAGGGAGTGGGGGTTGTCTTCCTGCTACCCTGGCCATGCAGCTCTGGCCCATCAAGGAGCTTAACAGTGCCGGGAGGGAGAAGGGACCGGGGCCAGGGGCCGGGGAGCGGTGGGAGGCCCTTGGGCCTTGGCTCCTAGAGCATCACGTTGAACTCGGTGACCAGAAAGTCGATGTAGTCACACTCCTTGGTCTTGAAGGCCTCTGCGATGATGCGCGCGGCTTCCCGATGCTCCTTGCCCCGAAGGGTCAGTCCGTTCACTTCCAGGATCACATGGCCCACCTTGAGCTGCCCACAATTGTGGGCGGAACCACCTCGCTGCAGGGGCGAGACACAGGGCAGAGGCTCATGGGGCGTCTGAAAGCCAGGTTGGCCTGGCTTTGACCACCCATGGAATCAGGCCTGACATTGCCAAAGAGGCAGCTACAATCTGGGTGTCCACTGCCCTGATTAGGAAACTGAGGATCGGGGAGAGCAAAGGTCCCATGAGCCTGAGTCTGTCCTGGGGTGTTGGATCACTGCTGGGGTCGACACACCCCTGGGATGCTGGGAAAAAACTTCCAGGCGTAGGAAGAGATTGCTGAGCAGGGGCCCCTTGGGGAAGTACCTGAATTGTGACAATCCTAGGCAGAGGCTGACGGGTGTTGGCGCCGCCCTCGATGGCGATGCCCAGGGTGGCTGCACTTTTCTTCACTCGGACGAGGGTGGATGTGGGCTCTAGGAGTCCGGGCTGTGGGTAGGAAGGAGAACAGTGATGAAGGACTTCTCAGCGGGCGGGCCTGGCCATGCACCGTTTTAGGTCACATTGGGAGCCTCCGCTTTGCTGGGCAGTAAGCTAAGCGCTTGGTGTCCTCAACTCTTAATTGCTATGAAAGTCCCCAAGGTTCTGGGTGTTAAGGGGCAGCCCAAGGCAGTGCCTGGCGGCGGTACTAGGACAGGGATCCAGGTCTTAGCCACCACGTCCTGTCAGAATTGAGCTTTAAGATTCTTCGGACCAACCTTTAGCACCCAGCTTGTCAGTGTCCCGGTGAAGGCAGGAGCCTCCAGCCGACCAGAACGTTGTACCCAGTACCCGCGCCCCTCCAGTGAGGGGCTCTCTCCACTGTCTGTGGTCACTTGTCAGGCTGAACCCCGGTCAGGGACTCCTGTTCTTCACCTGGGGCTTGTCTTCCCCTCACCCTCTGTGACCCTACCTTCCTCACTTACCGGTTTGGTGGCCCCCTCTGTGTTCCTATCATTCCGAGGTGGCTCCTTGCTACTCCTGCTCTTGGTGGATGCCATCTGTCTGCCTCGGCCGGGGGCATTGGCCTCTACCTCGCCAGCATCCACACCACTGTCCTCACTCAGGGTCTGCCCACTGTCCGAGAGCTGTGAGAGTGTGGAAGCTGCTGGAAACAGGGAACAGAAGGAGAGTGGTGATTTATACAGCTGCGGTCAGGGAAGGCTTCCTGAAGGAGGTGATGAAGCTGCAACTAGAAGGCTGAGGGGACTCCCTGAGCAAAGACCGAGGGGGTGGGGGGAAAGCTTCAGGGCAGAGAGACTTTCCCCACCCTTCTACATACTGAGATCTGCCCTTCCAATGGGGCCTGGCCCCAAGGCCACCACTTCCAGGATGTCTGCCTTGATTGCCCCCAGTGTAATGATTAGAACAGATGAGAAAGCAAACCTAATGCATAGATGTGTCTGTTTGTTAAACACATACAATGCTGTCAATTTTTAGTAATGGACCGACACATTCATATTAGGAGATTTCACATAAAATTTAATTTCTAGCTTCTTGAGGAAAAAGAAAGGAAGTTCTTCATGCCTGGTCTGCACCCGGACTCGACCCCAACTGGCCTAAGCTGAGTATGGACATGTGCCCCTTTGGTTCCCCGGTCAACCTAAGCTGCCTCACTGTGCATGCAGTGGCCTCATCCCTGAGTTTGATGCCCTGTGTTAACACACTCTGGAGTCTAGCCAGTTGGGTTTGAATTCCCTCGGACCAGCTGTACAGCCCCGGGTGAGTTACGTAGCCTCCAGGGGCCCCACATGCTTGTTCTAATCCAGAGCAACGATGCCTACCCAATGGGGTTTCCATAAAGACTAACAAATGTGATGTATACAGTGAAGCAGTCAAGAGAACAGACTCGTGCTAGACTGCCTGGCTTCACAATGACTTTCTGTGCCTCTTCATCCAAAAAATAGGAACAGTAACAGTACCAGCCTCTCAGGAGCGCTGGTGGGGGCTGGATCAGGTGAGCTGCCGGTACAGGCAAAGTCCCTAGAACAGTGTCTGGCACACAGACAGTGCTGAGTAACAGGTAGCTCTTATCGTGTGTGCCCAGCTCAGCGCCAGGCCTAGAGGCGGCAGTGACCCATTCATGATAGCTTGGGTTTCTCACCACATCTGCCTGCTCTCCCTTAGCTGCCCTCCCCCACCAAGCCCACCGAGCACAGGGACCCTGCATTCTACATGGCACATAGCCCCCGCTCACCTTCCCTGGCAGCAGCAGTGCCCCACGTATCACTTTAGCCACAAGGTGGCAGCAGAATCCAAAAAATGTACCCAACTGGGCAAGGAAGAGACCCAGAGCCTGCAGAGCTCAGGCTTTCAGAGTGAAAGCCGGTTCTGCCCTTCCCTCCACCTCCCTAGCTGGCCTCCTCCGGAGGCTCAGGGGCTGCAGCCTTGGGCTGGCTTCCTGGGCTCCTGGTAGGTCCACCCTGCACTCTGACCCTGAAGCCTCAAGTCAGGAGAACCTTAGGGGTCCACCTTTCATCCAGCACCTTCATGGTGTCTGTACCTGGGGTGCAGACATCATAGAAGCCCCCCACCCCCACCACTGCCCTCAACAAGCTTACTCTTATGGAGGAGACAGATCCATGAGGGCAGGGTGGCCGGGGCTGGGGGCTCAGGAGGAGGAGCCCAACCCTCACGGTAGCCTGGCAGGGCTGTCGTTGTCACCTGCATTCTAGCACAGACGAGCAGCTCAGAGAGGCCCAATGCCTGTCCCATGGTCACACAGCTAGGACACGGCAGAGTCAGGACTCATGCTCATGTCTCTGGTTCCAAAGCCCTTGGTGTGGGCTCAGGACCCTGTTCCCCAGCCACCGTGACCCTGAGGAAGGAACACCTGGTCTACAAGAACCCTTGCTGGGTGAGCACCTGTTCCACTTTCACTGTATTGATGGGCAAATCAACCCAGAGGGGACGCGCCCCCCCCCCAATCACACAGTGGGCACCGGAGCCCAGGAAGCCCCCAATGTCTGCGCGTACTCACTGCGTGTCTGGGGCAGCGCCCTCACTTCGTTCACGTCTGGCTCACTGTCCGGCCGGTGTACCTCCACCAGAACAAAGTGCTGGTTTGTGCCTGTCTGCTCCGGGCGGCCCGAGGGGGAGGGTGGTGGGAGGCAGCCCCCAGCCAGCGTGGCCTCTGCGGGGGGGCTTTTCAGGTGGGGAGGTGACTGGACCCGTGGGAAGGGGCCGATGGGGTGCTGGTTGACCAGGGCCAGATGGGCATCCAGCGGCCTCTTGGCGCCGGGCTTGGCAGGGGAGACGGAGGCGTAGATGGGGGAGGAGGGGGCATCCTGTGCCAAGGGGGCCTCTGGGGCTGGTGTGGTGCCTGCCGGCGGGCTGCGGTTCCTCGGAGCTGAGAAGATGATGCCCGAGTGGGAAGACGCGGAGGAAAGCGGCTTTGGGTCCTGGCTTCCCGGCTTCCTCGGCTGGGCCAGAGGTGGTGGGGGAGGAGGCAGCTTGTAGCTAGGCAGCCCCTCAGCTGTGGATTTGACATCATCCTGCCAAAAGACCCAACAGGAATAGAAGGAGTCAGAGCCCATTGCGGCTGGAATAGGGGAGAGCTGACAGCCGAGTGGGCCAGGCCCGGCTGGAATTCTGTCCCAGCTCTACCGGCTCTTGGCCACACTGCCCTGAATAATGCAACACCGAGTGGAAAACTTCTCCCAGCATCTCGGCAGCTGATAAGCATCGGGATCCTGGCTGCGTCCCTGGGGACAGCACCAGTACCTTTGGGAACTGAAGTTCTTGGCATCTGCCAGGGCTTGTCACAGGGAACTAGACTTCATTAGAGCTGGGATGCAGAAAACGGAAAAACAAAAAAGGCACTTCTTTGGCTTTTTTTTTTTTAGCGGATTATTTTGGCTACTAGAGATGGGAGGTATGACTGGACTAGAGGCAGAGAGTGTGGACAGAAGAGGACAGACACACAGGCTGGGGTGCTGTGTGGCCCCGGGCAAGGCACAGCACCTCTCTGAGTGCGCCCCCGGGCAACGGGAAAACCACACCTGCCAGCAGAGCGGTGAGATACGAGCATCGTGGTGTATCCTGGGTTAGCAAGGCACCTCCCACCCAGCAGGTGCGGGGTGAGTGGCAGCTACCGATAGCATCATTACTATTCCCCCTGCCCCCACCTCCACCTGTGCCAATACCCAGCACTAGCATAGCTCTGACGACAGTGCAGGCACTGTTCCAAACGCTCGACTTAAGTTAACTAGTTCACCCCTTGCAGCAAATGTATGGGTTAGTATACTCCTTACACTCCTCTTATCTCCATTTTACAGATGGGAAAGCCGAGGCACAGAGAGGTTAAGAAACTTGCCCAACGTTTCAGAGCCAGGGGCAGAGGTGGTATTTGAACCCAGGTAGGTAGTCTGGTCCCAGAGCCCAAGCCACTCAAGAGTTATTTGGGTCAGAATCACAAAGTAACGCTGCCTGGACGGCTGGTGTGTGCACGTGGGCATAAGGTCATGTTTAGCTCCCATTTCCGGCCCAGTCCTGTTACATCTTCAGGGAGTTGTCTCCACGCGCCTGGGTTTCAGCATCCGCTGGGAGAACATTCCGATGACATATCCAAAGTAACGCTGACTGGGCAAACAAGCGGCCTGACAGCCCCACCTGAAATGCCAGGAGCCGTCCTGGCCCCCACTATTATAGAGAGAGCACAGGGACATACTGTGCGAAGGCCGGGGACTGCATCTGAGAGCTCACAGTGGGGTCCTGTCTCCTCCCCTGGTCCTCACCAAGGAGCCGGCCCCCAGCGCCGCACACGGGCCAGGGCTGGCAAAACACAAGTACGGGCAGAGGGCCTCTTACCAGGGAAACGTCCGGGAGACTGTTCATATTGCCCTGCACAGCCTCACCGGTCTCCTCCACGTCCAGAGTGTTCTAGAAATGGGGAAGAAAAGATGGGAGCGAATAAAAACCAAGAGGGAAAAAACCAGATTCCAAAATCTGTGGACCCTACGCCACCTTTACGTGATTTCCGTGACTCCTGACATGCCCCAATCTGTTGGAGTTCATTTTATGCATTAAAACTCATGCCGTTTTGAAATCAGTTTTCGAGACCTGCTGATTATTTCCAGGCCTCCCTGGAACTCCCCTGTGAGGTGACTCTGGCCTTGACTGGGGATTCCTGAAGCTGCTCAGTGCACTCCATCCACAACTCCAGACCCCAAGGACTCTCTCCACTGCTTGCCACTGAGTGCCAGGAAGGTGTGCAGATGGCAGATGCAAATGCGAGGTGGATGGGGGAAGTCAGTCCCTCTCCCTCTCTCTTCCTCTTCTAATTTTAATGGTTTCAGTAGTGAAGCGGGGTGGTTAAGGTTTAAATGGACCTTCCTTTGCAAAAATGCCCATTTCCTCCTCCCTTCTCTGATTCACCACAAGAAGCCTCAGGCTCTCTCAAGTGACCCTTAGCTGCGGAAAGGCCATCTCTCTAGGCCTTCCCTGGGAGGCTGGGCAGTGCTCCTCTCTAAACTGGCTTTCCTGAGGGCTTGGGGGAGCTGTTTCTCCCCCACAGAGCCTCGGGTGTCGAAGCCTCTGTGACCAATACCCAGCTCAAGCCTCAGGCGCAGAGATCGGTTCTGCCTGCGCAATCTCAATGCTCCAGACTGACAGGGCCTGGGGTATGCGGATGGTAAGATGTGACCCCTGCCTTCAGTAGTTTAAAGACAGTGGAGTTGATACAAATGAGCAGACAGGACACTGCACCGAGTGAGGAAACACAGACATATAATGCAGCTGGGGAGAGGTTATCAAGGGAGGCTTCCTGGAGGAGGGAGCACAGCTGAAAGCTGAGTCTTGTGGGCGAGCTGGGCAAAGGAGAGAAAGAGGATTATTTCAGAGGATAGGGCATCCATAAAGCAGAAAGGACAGAGGATGTTTGAGAATCTTCCAGAGGTTCCACAAGAGTCAAGCATGGGGCTACTTGAAGCTGAGCCTGAGGGCAATGGGTTGCCATGGAGATGTGGCCAAGATTGCCTTCTGAGAAGTTCCCCTTTGCTCACTTCCTGGCAAGCTGCACTTGAACAATGCAGGCAAGTCAGGGCCTCCACACAAGCTGTTCCCTCTTCCTGGTACATTCTTCCACTCAGCTATCCACAGAGCGGGCTTCATTCGCTTACCGCCAAGACCTTACTCAAAATCCGCCTCCTCGAGGTCCGCCCTGACAACCCACCCTCAAGCACAATCCCCAGCTCCCGCCCTGCTTTACTTTCCTCCTTTGCGCTGATCACTGTTCTTCGCCCAGAATATAATCCTTGAGACTCCCAAGGTGTAATCCTTGAGACGCAAGTCAGATAATGTCCCTCCCCAGCTCATAACCCCTCAGGGCCTTTCTGTTTTACTTGAGGGAATTCCAGACTCTGCACTCATTCTGCTACTCCTCCCACCAACCGGGCAGAACGGTTCTGCCTTTGTGCCTCTCCCCACAGGCCCTGGTTCACTCCTGCACTGCATTGTGTTCTGACTCAGCAAGGCCTTCCTGGACCAGCCCTGTCCCGAATGCCCCCCTCCCCGTCTACCCATGCTAACCCCTGGCCCTGCTTCATCACCACCTGATGTCATACCATTCATTTCCTCATTGTCTGTCAGTAGCGTAAAAAGTCCTCTACGAGGCACGACTTGCAACTAACTACCTGGACCCTGCTCTGTCCTCAGTGATCACGACAGTGCTTGACAAATATTTATTAAGCAAATGAATGAACCCACACCTGGACTGATGAGTAAATGAAATCAGTCAATCACTCTGGTTGCCACGGGGAGGAGGCCTGAGCAGGCAGAGAACCCAGGGAGGTGGCTGCCGCTGTCACTGCGTTGATAGACCTTTTGTGGTAGATTGAATGCGGGTGAGGGCAGTGGGTGGGGACGGAGCCTTCCGGACTGCACACCTCCCCGGACAGAGGTCACCTGGTCATCCACACGGATCCCGTCTCCAGGGACCCTCCCAGTGCCTGGAGCACCCTGGGTGCACAGAGGGCGCACCATCACGGAGACCTGTCATGGGAACCCACCGACGGTTCTGAGGCTCTGCCTCCCGGAGTCTCAGTGGTGCCTTGTCTGGTCCCGTGACGCCCCTGGGTCAAAGTCAGGCTGGGGCAACCGGCCCATTTACCGACCAAGCGGACGCTCACACACAGACGTCGGCCTCCTGGCAGGCTCCTGCCGCTTCCGACGCCGTCTCCTGCACGCTGCCTCAACGGAAGATGCTGCAGGCACCCGCAGGGATGCCAGGACAGCTGGGGGTCCTTGCAGAGGGGGAACCATGGGGCTGCTCTCTCGCCCTCTGACTAGTGGCACCGATTCTGGCTTCTCTGAGATCATACCCACCTCTGCCACTTACAGCTGACTGATGGTGGGCAAGTCCCTGAGCTGCTCTGTGCCTCAGTTTCCTCACCTGTAAACTGGAGTAACTACAGTCCCTCCCTCACGGGGTTGATGTGTATTAACACCTGAACCATGCTCAGAATGGAGCCTGGTACAGTACGCAGGGGGAGGTGGCTATTAGCCACACCGGCAGCCTCAGACCTTGCAAATGTGCTTCCACAAACGAGAAGCTGCAAGACGCGCCCTGGCTCTGCGCAAACACCTCGATGGGCAGGAAACGGCAGCCTCCCATACGCCCCCCTCCAAACTCCAACACCAGAATGGTCCAGTGCGCCCTGCATGACACGGACCATCTACAGTGAATGTGAACAGCCACGGGTTCAGCAGGGCTGGTGACACGCAGTGACTTCCCAAGAGCTGGCAGTCATAGTCCTGATCACAGCAGGAAACACAGAGGGTCAGGAGCCTGGGAAGTGCCTTCAGCAAAGACAAGGGCCTCCACACAGCCCAATGTAGCACTGGCACCTGCTCCAGGAACCCAGCCTGCAGGCGCCCTCGGGACATAGATGACAGTGCATAGTAGGACCAAAGACATGGGATGCTGTCCTGTTCAGATTCATCAGCAGCTTCCAGGATTCAGTCAGTCAACAAGCACTTGTCAGGCAGCCTTGACTTATGAAGGAAGCTCATGGGGATAACAGATGAGTGGGTCACTGTGTCCCCAACACCAAACAGAGCTCCCTGCACACGCAGCTGCCCCCAAACCCCTGCTCAGGATCACTGATGAGGCTGGAAGTTGTGGAAGGGCCCACGAGAGGGGGGAAGGAAGGCCCCGGAGCCTGCCAACACAGCATGTATTTGCTGAGCACACGGGGGGTGGGGTGGGGAAGACTTTGTGTTAGAAGGCAGATCAGAGAACTACAAAGCAGAGGACCTACTATGTGCCGGGCCCTCTACTGGGCATTTCACTTACACAATCTCATTTATGATTCTCAGAGTGAAACTGGCACCCCGATTCTCTCTGGCCCACATCTTTTGTACATAAGCTCTGAGAGGGAAGTGATTGCCATGGTCACAGAGCCATTTTACAGTGGATGAGCTTTCTAACCGAGGCCAGGGGATCCCAAAGTCCATGCAGCCCTTCCCGACCCCAGAACTGGATAGAGGGCCATGATACTGCAGGCACTAGCTGGCCCCAGGAGGACTGTCTCCTGACCGGGATAGAACACAGCCATCGCTGGCCCCTGGCCTCGGTCATTCTCTGCTACTAATGGCATCCTGGAGCCAAAAGTGAGGCAGGCACAAATGCGGGGGAAAGGGAGGGAGGAGCAGGACAAACGGCCAGCTCTGGGAGGGAGACCTGAAGTGGAGCAAACGGCAGACGGGCCGGAGCCCAGCCCTGCCAGACTCCATCTGCCGAATCCAGACGCTCAGGTGCCCCGAGTCCCCGAGCCATGTTCCTTGTGCATCTGAAATAGCTGCAGACAGCAGGCTAAGAACCCGGGGGATGTGTCAGCAGAAACACTCGCAGAACAGGTTTCGAGGAGGATCAAGGTCAGAGCTCACGCAGGAGCTGGCCTATGCATGCTGGCCACCCCTCACCCCAGCTTTTTGGAGCCCCTTTTCTCCTGCACCCACTGAGGCCAGAGCCCATCTGAAGACTTAAACCCGGTGGGATCCTTCACCTGTTCCACAGCTGAGGTGATTGAGGTTCAGAGAGGGAAAACCACCTGCCCAAGGTCACACAGCAAGGAGGGGCAGAAAGCTGAACTCATTTAAGGTCTGACTGTTATCCAGACTGCTTCCCACAAGGGCCAGGATGCCCTCAGCACCTGCTGCCCCATCTCTTTCGTCCTCCAATCTGTGGCGGTTCAGAAAATTCCCTTCCCTTTGGAGAAAAAGAACCTCATTTGTGTCTGAGCTGGCCCAGCCAGGGCCCAGATACCCCCGGAATCTGGTTGGAAGGAACTCTGGGGACACCATGAAATGAAGTGATGAGGGGCAGTCGCCTGTGCCAACCTCTGCCAGCGGGACTCCTGACCCTGGAAATGCAGGTGTGCGGCCCGGTGCTACCTCAGCAGAGCGAGCCCGCTCGGTCCCCTTCCTCCAGCCCAATTCTCTGGTTTCTAGGCCTGCTTCCCCTCCTTACAATGGGAGGGTTCTTACATAAAGGTGCTATTTTCAGCCCTTTGTTCTTCTTGCTGCTTTACTCTAATGTCAGGACAACAGGCTCCCCCCTCCCCCTCCAAAATTCGCAGGAAGAGGCCCGAGTCTGGGTGGTGCTCCCCCTTCTGTATATGGAAAAACTGAGGCACCAGTGCCAGGACACAGGGAGAGAGAAGGAGGGAAACCAGAGAGGGGGAAGTGAGAATAAAAGAAAAAAGAAGACGGGAGAAAAGGCCTAGAAGGGGGAGCAAAGGGAGGGAGAAAGGAGAGGTAAGAAAAGCAGGGCACGGTGAGCAGCCAGAGCAGGGGCTGGGTAAGAGATGTCACCCCAGGAGAGGCGAGGTGGGGAGAGGGGCAGGACAGCAGTGTGAGCTGGGTACGGCCAGAAAGTCCTG